GAAATGGACCCACACGGGTTTTGGAAAACCAATGTTCCTGCTGTGCTGCTGAGAAGGTCATTGCACGGTTCAGACATCAGATAGCAAAAAGTAGGAGTGTCTACGTTCCACTTGTGTTGGCTAGAGTAATCATGCCGGGCAAAGTTCAGCGAAGCAACATTTACATCGATGATCCCAGATATATTTCCGTGATAACGATGACACATCGTCTGATCGACGGAGGATAACGTCCAGCAGGGATGGGAAAAGACGAAATGATAGGCATGGCAGAGAAAACAGCTGACATGCAGATGGCAATGCAAATACATGTACTTAAACACTGTCAGCCCCCAAAAAAACAAGACCTGATATGTGGCTTTGATGCGAAAAAGAAATGATGAAAAGAGCGAAACGACACTCAGGTTCGACCTGTGTATGAATCAAGTCCAGAAACGCGTAACATGAGGTTACTGAAATGAATTGAGTAATGGTTGAGCCGTACAAGTACACGATATGATTACTCATTAACTCGTTTTGACAGCATGCGACCCAAGACTCTAAGAACAAGAAACTAGGAGAATACGACGACGGGTCCTACATGCCTTCTTCTCAGCACCTACGCGAGCCCTGTTCACTATTTTTAGAGTAATGGAAAAAGCCTCGGAGAAAAAAGCTGAATTGATACGAAAAACAGTCGTTATCCTAAAATAACAAGCAACTTTCCTACAATGTGGACAGCGGACAGCGGTTCAAGGCACTTAACCGAAGGGGACATCTCACTAGACATTGTACAGATGATATCTGGAATAATTCTGCACGTCATTATGCCGGATTTTCACCTCATAGTATATAAAATCACGTTCGGTCTGATAGTAGTGTCGAGACAAGATCAGACGCCACCGAACGCGTCCACGGGACGCGAGTAGCGCAACCATCAGATATGATGGTTGACTGCGAAATAAGTAGACAGGCAATAGCGGAAAACTCTCGACGACAATGACAACGGTATATCTAGCAACGTTGGCTCCAGAAAGTACTGCAAGGCCTACCCATGGACTGTACATATCCAGAAGGAAGTTTCGCGGTGGCAAAATTCGGCCGTAGAATACAAGAAAAAGCTGTTCAAGGAATGGCAATTATCAAACAACCCGGAAGACAGAGTAAAATATTTCAAATCGAAGAGAGAGGCAAAGAAATTCGTCGCCCAAGCAAAGTTTGCAGCGTGCACTAGCATAAACG